GTGAAATCAACAGCAAACCACCCTGGGAGTCGTCTTCTGCTTCCATCAATGTTTCATGTGGTAGAAGGAGCACAAGCAGCTGCCGAATGCAGCGGAGGCTGAGGACCAGCGAGAGCGAACAAGAGAAAGCTGTGTTTTTCCCCTTAACCGATACTTGGCAGGTCGCACCTGGCTGGCCATGCGGGTGCAGAAGCCGCCAGGTGGGTCTGCCCCTGAAGCTCTCTCACCACGGATGTTGAAGCCTTACATTTCCATGAACGGGGGAAACATTGTCCCTTAAAGCAAATTTGAACCCCCCCCCCAAGAACTTTAGGGCACAAAATAGGCAAGCTTTCAAACTCCAAAGAACGCTCCATGCAGCTGGTTCTGTAAGAGCTCTGCATAGCTCAAAAATTTGCTTATTTCATACCCGTATAGTTCACCCTGGCAAAGGTATTGCCTAACTGGGGATCTTGGATAGGTCTCCAACTGCTAGGGGTCAGCGGGGGGGGGGGCTCTGCTTGCCTTTCCCTTTCCCTTAACTCTCTGATCACACCCACATTGTGAAGCCAGCCATTTCGCTTGTAGAAAAACGGACACGTGCAGACAGGGGAGGTTTTCGTTCAAGAAACTGAGGGAGACTTATGCTACCTACCACCCTCTCCTTTTAACCTGCAATGCCTCCAGCCGCTTCTTTATCTCAAAGTTTCATTATTTTAGCGGAAGGTTGGACATGGGCCCCCGTCAAAGCTAAATACAGAGAGAGACGGGAAAGGCCTGCAAAAAAGCAGGAAGAGCCATTTACGGTTCGATTTGTGAGCTTTGTTTTCTCAGTTTTAGCTACGGCACTTTGGAGGATTCGTGTCTGCTGGGTGATTTGCAGACGCCTGGTGGAAAAATGATGGCAGTAGGCATTTGGAGCAATTCAGAAGATGATGGGTGCATATATTTCTGAGGCTGTTTCATCACTCAGAGAGAGAGAGAGAGAGAGGGAGAGAGAGAGAGAGATCCATCCGCAGGCAGCACATAGAAGATGAGAACATCGTTGGTAAGGAGGCAGGTCGGAGTGGGTTGGCTGGGGAGGCGGGCAGGGGGCCAGCATATCCGCAGGTAGCACATAGAAGAGGAGAACATCTTTGGTAAGGAGGCAGGTCGGAGTGGGCTGGCTGGGGAGGCGGGCAGGGGGCCAGCATCCCACTGACCCACCAGACCCCTTCCCTCAAGCTTCTGAGACTTGCACGAGGCAATCCTGCCTGCCGTAAACAGGGAAAAACCTGTTTGAACCCCAGGAGCCCATGTCTGCAGTAAACAGCCCCCCACACTTTCTCTTTCATGTGTTCCTGTAGAAGGACGGCATCCACAAAACCTTGGCGATACAGCAGCTCTTCAGAGTATTCGCAGGCATGCTGGTCTTGCGCCGACATGCTCATGACATGCCCGGAATTTCTCATGAAAATAATAATTTTGTGCCATCAGGTCAATTTTCACTTAATCGTAATAATAATCATCACGTGCCATCCACTTCTGATTTATGGCAGCCCTTTCCCTTTCTGAATAAAGAGTACTCCAAAGGGGTTTACCATTCCCTTCCCTGGGATGGTGCAGCCCCAAGGCTGCCCAGGCTGGCTCTTCTTCCTTGTATCACAGCGGGGAATTGAACTCCCAAAGTCAGGCTCGGCAACCAGATATTTAAACCACTGTGCTATCCAGCCAGCTCAATTCTGACAAACTACCCTTTCCAGGGTTTCCTAGGTAGGGGCTTGCTCAGAAATGGTTACCCACTCCCTTCTGGAGTTGCTACTAGACTCTGCCGCTTGCCCAAGGGTACATAGGCTGGCTCTTCTCCTAGGGGGGCACAGTGGGGAATTCAACTCCCAACCTCTGGCTCCGGAGCCGGATGCTTTGACTCCCTGAGCTATGAAAGCACCCAAAGACTGGCCCTTCTGCACACTGGGTCCCTTTGCACACTTGGCTCCAGTTTCTCGTGAGCCAAGAGAGAGGAGGAGGGTCCGAAGACCAACAAATCTCAGACACCCTAAGGGTGAGGGACCACACCTGCATCTCTGTCTCTAGATCTTTGGGATGGCTGTCTGCACACAATTCTCTGCCTGAAAAACAATGACGTGATGCCACCTTTCCTTCTCCTGGCATGCCGGAACGCCTACGAACCTGCCCACATGAACAAGACGACGACAATGATGAGGACTTCTCCGGCTCGCAGCTGCTGGTTTTTCTCTGCCATCTCTTTCATGGTGACCTCATCTGCACGGAAAGAGAGCGATGATGGGCATTAGCTTCCTTTCCGGCCAAACCCTCACAGGCTTCTGTGACCTGGCGATGCCTAGACCAAGCAAAGAGTTCCTATCCAAAGAGACCATGCACCTCGGAAGCGTTCAGAGCAACCTAGATTCCTCAGAGTGCTTTTTCCCATTGCTTCTAAAGTGTGCAGCCCGACTCTCGTCCAGTCTGGCTTTGGGCTCAGAGCCCTCTGTCCCCTCCCGCCATCATCCTGAACCCCTCTTCCCCTTTTTAACATTTTAAAGATCCTACAGCACCCCCAGTTTGGAAAAAGGCAGGAAGGGGGAAAAATTATGATTTCCTTGTGCCAATCTTGACATTCGAAGGAGCCACCGACATGTGTCACTCCCAAAAGGGACACAGATCACCACAAAAGAGGAGACCGGGTTGCATAAAATCACATTGACTAAGGCCAACATCTCTTTCTAGCATGGAGAGAACTGTGACTGGGGAGCAGGGTGCCTGCTGCTCCGTTTGTGGCCCTGGTGCCTGCTGCTGCTGCCTGTGGATGATGGGCAACATCCTGGTCCCTGATCTCACTCCTTCTTGGGTGGAACAGTGCTTTAGAAAGAGGGTCCCTTCAAGCAAAGCACAGCCCTCTCTGGAAGAGAACATGTGGCCCCCCCAAGGGCTGTTGAAAGCGACCATCGTGGCTCCATTGGGTCCCTTTGCCAATGGAGGGGGCCCTGAACAAGTGCAACCTCACTGCCCTCTAGATCAGGGGTCCTCAGACTGGCCCCAGATGTTCTTGGACTGCAATTCCTACAAGTCTTCACCGCGAGCTGTGCTAGCCGGGATTCCTGGGAGCTGTAGCCCAACAACATCTGGGTGACCCAAGGTTCTTTCTCAGGTTGGAACCAATCCAGATGTGCTGTATTCCTAGCCAGACATCGACATAGATATAGACCAGTGGTTCCCAACCTTGGGTCCCCCAGGTGTTCTTGGACAGCAACTCCGAGAAATCCTGGCCATCCCAGCTCGTGGTGGAGGCTTCTGGGAAGTGCAGTCCAAGAATACCTGGTTACCCAAGGTGGAGAAGAGATGATCTACCCCAAACCCTTGCTCCGTTTTCCTTGCCTTTGTTTTTGGAAGCCAGCTTCTCGGCTTCTCTGGGGGTCTTGAAGAGGAAGGGCTCGCTGGCCGGACTCTGGCCTTGGATGCTGATGGACTGCACATGGACGATGTACTCAGTGTCCTCCTCCAGGTCCCACAGGGAGCACGAGCGGGTGGTTGTGTTGACCTCCTGGATGAAGCGCAGCATCCGGACGTCTTTCTTCTGCAGAGAGAGAGAAGGGGATGGAGAACACTCTGTGCAAGGGAATCGAACCATGGGATTCTCTCATCTGGGGCTTGTCCCGGTAGGGTGTAGGGACATGGGAAGGGGAAGCCCTCTATTTAAGAGCCCAAGGAGCTCAGGACATTTCATATCACCTGCATTCATTCATCAAAAGCTTTCTTTTTTTTTTTTTGGACTCATTCTCATGCCAGATGCAAGGCATTGATGGATTCTGTAATAATCTCCTCCATGTGTTGTTTGGAGACTTATTGTCCCAATGAGGACTAGTCATTTTAGGAAGATTTCTTCACACAGTTACTCAGACTAGGTTTGAGAAAAGGGGCTCATCTCCCCCTTCACCAGCGGTGGCTGCGACTCCCAATTTGGAGGCACTCTGAATCCATGCCATGCTTTAGTGTTTGCAGGAGCTGACCAAGGTGCTGGAATCTATTCCCAAAATAAGTTCAGCTTCTTGGCTAACTCTTATAAATTGCAAAGTAAAACCCAGAGTGGAACCACAGCACCTCTGGAATAGGAGTCACCAGCCAACCCTGCCCTTGGCACCACCTGGCTGGGTAGTGAGGTACAACATTCAGCATCTTGAGGCACAAGATTCAGAGCTGAGCTTCAGGAGGAAAACTCCATTCTACCTGCTGGGAGATGGCAAATCCGATGACCACTTCCTCTTCCAGGACGTCCCAGGTCACGATGGCTGAGTTGGCATTCAAGAGCTTGACAGAGACGTTGACCGGAGCAGAGGGGCTGTCTGTCAGACAGAAAGAGGGCCCAGGGCAGAGAGAGAGAGAAGAGGTTTAACACAGGAAGCATCACCGCATGCACAACTCAAACTGGTGAGGTCTAAGGTCACAAGAAGGTGCTGAGCTGTCCGTTGTGAAGGTCAGTCCACCCTCCGGCTGCTCATCTGTGGAGTCTAGTAGCTGCTATGTTCCCTAGAAGGCAGGACAGACAACTGTTATGGGCCTGGGGGCTCTTTCCCCACACTCACAGGGGCACGTCCCTACCTCGTACTACTGCCTGCCACTTCCAAAGTTCAGCAGAGAAAAACACACGCTGGTCCACATGTTTCTGCTTAAAATCAACGAATATCAGAGGTGTGCCTTGTTCTAAAGCAGATTTGCACTCCAGAAGGCGAGGGCATACTTTAAAAGAAGGTAGACTACCTCCAGACTCCTTCATTTAGAGAGGAGGAGATGCACTAAAAAATAAGGAGGGTGCAAAAACATAGGAGGGTGTAGGTGAATCTCCCCCCACCCCCAGTAAAGTGACAGAGGCTGCCATGCTCTCTGGCCATGGGAAGGATCAAAAGCAACAGTGGGCAGGAGTTGGCAATGATGTTCATTTAAGATCATCAATACCCATTTCCCCCCCTACTTTCTCTGACACACGGCCCCAGTCTCCTCTGACTCTCTCCAAGGTAGACTACCTCCAGACTCCTTAATTTAGAGAGGAGGAGATGCACTAAAAAGTAAGGAGGGTGCAAAAACATAGGAGGGTGCAGGTGAATCCCCCCCCCCCAGTAAAGTGACAGAGGCTGACATGCTCTCTGGCCATGGGAAGGATCAAAAGCAACAGTGGGCAGGGGGTGGCAATGATGTTCATTTAAGATCATCAATACCCATTTCCCCCCCTACTTTCTCTGACACACGGCCCCAGTCTCCTCTGACTCTCTTTCTCTCTCTTTCACTCTCTTTCACTCACCACCCTGTCCTCCCCTTCTCCTTGTCCTCCATGAATTTCGTTGTATGATATACTGTGTATATACTTACTGTCCTCCATCACCCATAACTATCATGAGTCCTTTTAAGGAGAAAGGCAGGGTAAAACAACCTTAAATTTACCATCAATATGTATTCTATAAAGGCAATGGTTTCTGGAGCTGTGCTAGTCTGTTTCAGCAAGAACAATGTTAAAAAGATGGTTGCATTTTTACTAATGCATTTCAGTATGAACCCTTGTTGATTGTAATCCACTTTTCCAAACTTATATTCACTCTGAAATAAAGATATTAGCCTTCAAGATGCCACCCTCCGTTCGTATTTGGCTTTTAAGGTCAGTTTTGGTTTTGACCTCTTGTCTAATTAAGCTCAATATGGAATTTTTCCTATTTTACATCTGCCAGCCAAGCACCAGACAATTGTCCTTAAGTTGTTTCCTGCAGCTTACCTTCCAACCCTATTCATATACATGTGAAGCTCAGTTTTTGGTGGTGGGTTTGTTTTTATTTTAATGCTCCAAAGGTACCCTTATGCTTATGTAAATTCTCTCTTGCCATTTTGATCTCCCCTCGCCCACTATTCCAGATTATTTCTAGGAAGGTTCTGCAAAGCCCCAGCCTCAAAGCAGATCCGTCAAGGGGTGTGTGTGCATGCGTGCATGTGTTTGTGCATGTGTGCTGTTTATTTACATCATGGGCAGGAATTGGCCCTTGGCGCCTGGAGAATAGCGGGTCCCCTGCGGGAGCAGAACTCTCATCTCTGCTCGCCCTGCTCTTGAGCACAGAGTCAAAAAAAGCTCCACCGCCAACAAGCGGCTTAGAATTCCCTCAGCCCTGCTTGAGAACAGCATGGAGTCCAGTGGAAATGGTCTCCGGGCTGCACCCAGGGACGGCTTTTGCAGGCCAGTTTGTTCCTGTTCTCCAGGACGGATCTTCAACGCCTCAAGGAAATGGAAAAGCTGCTGAGCCTTTCAGCAAAAGGCCAAGAGACACCTAAAGCTTTTTAATAAGAAGTGGAGAATTGCAGAGGGGTAAGGTTTGTGTAATAACATCCCTGCCAATAGATAGCGCTTCTCTCTCTCTCTCTCTCTCTCCCTGAAAGCCGGAGCTTTGATATCCAATAGCCCACGGGGCGTTTTGTGGCTGGGGAGGAGGCACACCAGAACACTTGGGAGGAGAGGCACCCTGCCTTACTGGGTCCACCCCTACCCATCAGGACACAGGCTTTCAAGCCTACGACCTGCATTTCCCTTTTTATGATCTGATTTTTCTGCTGACCTATAAGGAAACAGTGCTTTAATTTATTACTGGGTCTGTGTCTACTATTACAACAAGGAGCCTAAATGCTGGCTTTGATTTTGCACATAAAGGTATCCATGCAACAGGCAGCTTTTAAATGCCACAGGTTGGGCGTTCCAAGCGCTTGTCCTCCCTTGCTTCGCTCATGTCAGGCAAAAGCAAAACAAAACCATTGAAAAGAAAGAAAGAAGACAAAAATGTTGTGACGCCTTAAAGACTCGTTGCTGTATTTTCATGTGAGCTTTTGTGGACGCGTCCACGTCTTCTTCACAGGCGGGCCTCGTGTCTACAAGAGTCGTAGAAGGCGGAACAGCAGAGGCAGGGCGGGCAGGCAAAGTTTGGGTATAAGATCACCAGATCTGCTTGGGATTCCTGGCTCAGTCCTCACTTATCCTGGGAGGATAGTCACACATTTTCTAAGGTTGTGAGTTCAAATGCAGCTTTGGAAAAGTAGCTTCGAATCATCAGCCACCCTTCATAATTGGGGTGCTGAAAAGGAGCCCTGTAGTGCAATGGCTGTACAGCAGTACTTCAGTCCCAGGTAGCTGATTCCAGGTTCATTCAGCCTTCCAGCTTTCTGAAGTCAGTAAATTAAGCACCAAGCTTGCTTCGGGATGAGGGGGGCAATGTGTAGCTTGCATAATTAAATTGTAAACCGCCCAGAGAGAGCTTTAAATGCTATTGGGTGGTATATAAGCAGCACGCTTTGCTTTATTTTTGAAAAGAAGCAGGGCTCCCCATCCCTAGGCGATCTCTGTGCCTCTGAATCAGGTAAGACTGTCTGCTCAATGGAGACAGAGCTGGCCCCATAGCGAGGCCAAAAGAGGCAAGGCAGAAAGGTGGTGCCACGTGGTAGGGCTCAGCTGCAGCCATGGACTCCTTGGGAGTCAAGGACTTCTCATGGGCAGGACTCCATCCTTTGACCTGCTGCAGTTGAGTGGACACTGCGTGAGCCTGTGCAGAAATGTCTACCCAAGGCTGGAGAAGGTGGCGAAGACAAGTCTTCTGGGATGGGGCCATCTTATCCATTTGCATTCCTGGACTCCTGTCCTCCTTCATTCCACTGGCATCTGCTGACCTTGGACTGCTATCGGAGATGGACCGTGGATGCCCCTGGCTTGGCTGGCCACCTTTTCCATAGGACTTGTTTGTCCCAACCCTTGGTTTCTGTTTCCTGGACTCTGACTTTGGATTCTCTTCGTCTGACTGCTAGGTGAGCAAGAACCATTCTGAGATTGACCTTGAACTGCTTGATGCTCCTGCTGAAAGTTGCTTGCTTCTCTGTTTTCCTGTCCGCCTGGACTCAGGAAATTTGTGCCTTCTGTCTCTCTCTCTTGGATGGTAAGATCCCTCCACTCCCATCAAAATGTGGTAAACTGGCAATGCTCTGCTGTTCTCCTGGTTCAACAACTTCACCGATGGCGGTGTTTTCAACCCTGAGGGTTGGTCCCGGAGCCCTACCTTGATGGCGCCACTAAACCCAAATCTCTCCAGGATGAAGCTGTTTAAGAAGAAAGAGGTGCTGGCTTTGCAGTCAGGAGAAGACCACCTAATTCCAGGACGAAGGTTCTTTGGCCCAGCTGAACTCAGAGTTTCAGCCCCTTCCCTTCACGGGATGTTCACTGTGTTCTTTTAGGCCCTCTGAGGTAGGATTCGGAGAAGAGTCGGCTTCGCCCACTTCCGAGAATTCCTGAGCTCAATGGAGAGTACAAGGAGCATGATCTTTGGCTTTGAACCAACCTTGAATGTCAAGATGCTGTGTTGGTTGCCTTTCCCCCTCTTTCCTGCTCTGTGACCTTTTCAGCCAAAGTGAGAGGCGTTCGGAACATGACCGGCTGCTGAATGCACCTCAGTTTCCTGAATGTTGCTCATTCTCCACTCCTTCACCCCCTTCCCTGTTTCTCATTTTCCTTCCTCCTTCTTGGGCTGTGGGGGTCCTTTTCCCCCCTTCCTTAAAAGTGGAGGTGTAGAAGCGAACATCTCCTGCCCTCCGCGCTCTGCTATTCATCCGGCTTCTCTGTGCACACCCTCAGGGCGTCTCTCCCACCGAGCGTAATTGCTTGCCGACATTGTGGAGTTTGTAATGCAAAGGGCTGAACCCCCTTCCCCAAAGAACACAAAAAGCTCAGGCCTGCCTCCTCCATGTGGGTCTTGAGTCATGTCGGGGCAGGGGGTGTGGGCAAATGGTGTTTAGGAATGTAGGCTGAACCGCCATGAACACCTGCCATTTTTAGAGCACAAAGGCCTCCCGACAGGCCAGTGTTTTGCTCTCGAAAGGCCAAAGGAAACGGTTCTGAAAGGAACCAAGAGGCACCCTGGGTAAGGAAAAAGAAGCAGCCCACAGCCAGGGGATGCAGGAGAGGAGGGTGAGCGGGCACAGGGGCAGCCAGAAGGCAAACAACGCCCAGCAACCAGCGGGGGCCTGCCCCCAAAGTCCACCCCAAGCCCCACCACAGAATTAGTTTTTCACAGTGGTTGGCTTCAGATGGAAGGGAGGAAGAAAAATCATACAAGGGGTAGGGCTGGAGAGATGTCCCCTGGTCCATGCGGCTGCCGAAGAGGGCTACCGTCAGGGAGAACCTCTGTTCTCGAAACCTCTGCCGGTTCTTCCTAATGTTTAGTCATGTGCCCTTCCTTGATTTGGGAACCGTTTGCTGTTGGACCTTAACGGCTGGCACAGAAGCAAACAAGCTGACTTGGGTGTGCTGTGGGGGCTGCCCCACAATTATCTT